GACGAATTACATGAGTTCCCTTTGCCTTTTGATAAAAATACCATTAATGAACTGATTATGCTGTGTGTAGTTGATTGTAAGTTTGTGTTTGAGGGGAAATACTTTACTCAAAAAAGGGAATAGTGATGGAAAATCCGTATCTGGAATTTTTCGAGGCTAGACTATTGAAAGATATCCTGCTATGTAGAGCCAAATGCTTCAGATATGTGGATGACATCTTGTGTGTTTGGCCAAATGATAAGGCCCTTGATACATTTTTACGAGACTTAACGCTTTAGTCCCGTCTATTAAATTCACCGTAGAGAAAGAGGTGGACTGTAAACTTCCATTCTTAGATGTGTTGATACACCGGGTTGATAGAAACATTAAGTTTACAGTATACAGGAAGGCTACCAGTGTGTGCTCATACATTCACTACCATTCCAACCGCGAGACTCGTGTCAAAAGGAGTGTATTTACTATTTTTTGAGAGCCTACAGAGTGTGCAGATGAAGAAATTAGGAAAATATTTGACATTGACATGAAATTGCATTATCCTAAGAAGTTTGTGGAATCTGCCTTGCTGGCAGTTAAGAAAACTTATTATAGAACAGAACCTAGGATAACACCTCAGATCAATAATTTATCTATCCTGCCGAATGATCTTAGAAGATTTAATATACAAGTAGTATTTAAAAACTCAAGGACTGTTAGAAGCATCATGATAAAGAATGCACACCAATAACGTGTTGGTGGTGTCTTCAGAGTTGGTTGCAACGGTTGCAGTCTCTCCTATTTGGAACAAATGGGAAAATCATTGGAGGTGAGAATGTCCCAGCGCCGTTATTCGATAAGTATAGCACAGGAGTCGAACGCGATTTTCAACCACATTAGAGCTTGTAATAACCCGGCAAAGGAATATTCTACAATCGGCATTTATTAAGCAGTCATTATACAATATCAGTGACGGGCTGTTTAAATTAGATACATTTTTAGTTGAGGCGATAGTACACAGTCTAAAACTGGGCTCTTATATGAATGTATGAGTCTTAAATGTAGTGCCACAACGAGGAATTATGGCTTATTTTCCCTGTAGTTTCTGAAGGTTTAACCAGAGTTTGCCTCAGAATTATGTGGTTTGAATATCTGGCCGTCCTCCTTGTTAATGCAGTTGCCTTCCCCTTTCAATGAGTCTATATTAATGAGCCCCGTTCCCTTTACATAACTTTTAGAAGTCTCCTCTCTGTATGTTATCATATTCTCGCCCTTTAAAAGGACATATTGTCCGGTAGGAGACTACCCTATAATTGCCAGAGACTTCTATATCATTGACAATATATTTGTGTGTGTACAGTTACTGATATCATAGTGGAATATGATCGATTATTTTTATTATTGCCACATTAATTTCGTTTACGTTATTTCAGCATCTGTGTTTGTGGGATTTTTTCTAATGCTATAATATTCGTCCTTCTGGCGGTGGGCACTGTTGTGCCTGGGGACACTTCCTCTATCCTCATCTATCACTCCCTCACTCCACTGAAGACGGTCCTCTGGAAACATACTTGCTTGGCCATCCTTCTCTTTTCTGCAATTTGACAAGCTCCTGATGATGTGTTGATTGCAACACGGAAGGCCTAGAGCTATCATATATATATATATATATATATAATATAGGGAGGTACCACCTCTAGAACTGTCCTGGGGACCCTCATCTTCAGAGAAAAGAATAAACTTGCTTCAGGGAACACTCAAGGATCTCCCTGATGCTGTTTGAAAATTGTTTTCTCCTACCACCCCCTATATTTTATAGGTAATATATATATATATATATATATATATATATATATTATATATATATATATATATATATATATATATATATATATAAACACTGATCTCTGGCCGAAGGAGACTCGAACCTACGAACCTTGGAACAATGTACGCCGTGCCTTACCATTCTCACCTCACTGGACCAATAGCTTGGAGTCCAGCTTGCGCTAGACGTTTGATCCAAGGCAGCCAGCTTTCAGGGAGAAGGCTTACAGCTTATCATCTCGTCCCCTGCATGCATCAGCCTTACTAGAGATTTTAACAATGCAAGGAATTCGCAAGAACAGGCGAAATATACACAAACACTGATCTTTGGCTGATGCATGCAGGGGATGAGATGAAAAGCTGTAAGCTTTCTCCCTGAAAGCTGGCTGCCTTGGATCAAAGTCTAGCGCAAGCTGGACTCCAAGGTATTGGTCCAGTGTGGGTAGATTGGTAAAGCACTGCGTATCTTGTTCCAAGGTTCGTAGGTTCGAGTCTCCTTCAGCCAGAGATCAGTGTTTGTGTATATTTCGTCTGCTCTTGCGAATTCCTTGCACACACACACACACACACACACACACACACACACACACACACACACATATATATATATATGCGTGTAATCCAGTCACAAACAGGGAAAATATATTAAAAATATATAGACTTTATTCCTGAACAATTACTGTAGAAGCAGTACGTAATGTAAGATTAATGTGCAGAATTGAAGAGAGTGGATGGCATTACAACCCTCACTGATAACTTTCAGTTGTGAGGATGTAAATACTCAGGAGTAATTAGAAATACTCAAGAATCTTTGTGTTCTCTGGAATCTATATACCCTCACTGATAACTTTCCTTAGTGATGCAATAGTGACAAGTATGAGATAAGGAATATTCATGAATACTCAGGAATATTTTAGAATACTCAAATAATCAGGAATTCATAAACCTTCCCTGATAATTTTCTATAGCAACTCAGGGAGCTAAACGACACAAACCTCGAGAAATTCTTACACAGTTTTGCAACCATCAGTATTTTGTTACTTTTGTGACAGAGATTAATGTTCGTTTCTCTCTTACGTTACTCCAAAATTCCACACAAAATAAAGATAATAATGAAGGAAGCATCTCATAACGGCACTAGACTAGTTGGTATTCATCTGGCACTGTTATGAAAAACTCTATGAAGTTTCATAATGTCTTGTGCATACGGTTAACTTGGGAGGGTATTCCATACACCACTTGGTGAGGATGGAGAAGTTGGATGTGGGTGCCTGACTCCGTGTCTTGCTTTTACATGGGACGGGTGATGTGAAGGACACACATTGCTATCTCTGAATCTTTTCCCACATCCTATCTGTTGCGAAACTTGCAATATTATATATGTGGAAAATTACATTTATCTGAATGTAACTAATTATGTACATAACAGTAAATGATAACAAAGATAATTATTATTTATCAATGTTACATAGACAAGTAGGAATTTGGGACACCTAGGTCGCAAAAATGTCCCCCTTCGATACCTACCACTGTCATAACCACAAGTTGCTCTGGACCTATTAATTAAATGAAATATATATACACCAGGAATACTGGTAAACATATAAATTTGTGGACTGTATATTAAAAATAATAAATGGTTATATATATATACACAATTACATAACAGAAGGAAAATATAACTTAATATCACTCACTAATTTGACTTGAGATTAATGTGTATCATAGTCAGAAAACCTCACTCTAACTAAATCTATGAAAATAATGCTGGCCAGAATTACACACAAATCTAGAGAGCTTATCTGAGGTTCCTGGAGCTGTCTTGTGCAGTCGTCTGATATCTCAACTTATGCAGGAATGCACATCCACCAATTTTGCCTCCTATTTGAGAGGTGTCAACACAATTTTAACCTCTAGAGCACGAAAAATTCTTCCCATTTCACCAACGTTTGTACAAAATTCAAAACCAAGATGGCGAGTCTCCTCTGCGCAGACGCAGGCTTTCCGTTTTCTATGATAGAAATATTATTAAATACAGTATGGCCATCTATTTACATATAAATACTGAATTTCTGGAAAATATATACAGTATTTTCCACAATATATCTCCTGACGAAGCTGGGAAGTTCGAAGTTGCTAGTGTTTACAATTTCCTAGTGGCTTGTTTTGCATATGTATGCATATAAATCAAACGTTGATCAAGCATTGCGTGATCTTTGAATTCGTCTTCAAGAACGCAAGTGCTCATGCTGGAGGAATGATGCTAATAACATATGTGTCGCCCTCTGCTGGATTTATCTCCAAGTCATGAATTGAGAGTCACAGCAACTAAATCAAGATGGCAGAACCAATTGCAGAATCCTGAGTCCGCTACCATTCATCTTACATAGACCTTTCTGCCAAACAACTGAATATACACACTGGCTTCATCTCTCATTTCGTCCATATTTTCTGTATTAAAAAATTTAACTGTCCCTGGCCTACTAGCATGCCTACCTGACCTCACTTCCTTAGATCAACCCTGAACCGATTCCAAAATCCCGTCTTGAATCTCTCCTACGACCACTCGGATGACTGACCTCAGAGTTCTCGTCTGCCTTATAAACAAGTGATTCTGTTTCCTCTATATACAGTACTTGATATATTCCAGCCCCAGTCGACACCTTGTAGCACCATTGATGGTTGTCTCTTCATTTCTGAGAATGGGTTGATGCATAATCACTTTAGGAGACATTAGCCAAGTTTATCTCCAATGAGAGCAGAAAGCACGTAGAATAAACTAGCAATCAAGGCACCAAGTACGTAGAATAAACAACCAAGGCACCAAGCACACAAAATAAACTAACAACCAGGGCACCAAACACACAGAATAAACTAACAACCAAAGCACCAAGCACAAAAAAATAAACTAACAACTAAGGCACCAAGCTAACAACTAAGGCACTAACAACACAGGCATGAAGCAAGCAGAATAAACTAACAACCAAGGCACCAAGCACGTAGAATAAATAACCAAGGCACCAAGCACATGTAATAAAGAGAATAAATTACTCTGATGACTATTCGGAAGCCGGGATAAGTGTGTATATAAAGATTTTATTAAGACAATGATTCACTCAAGGCGAGTTTTGGCTTATTAAGGATGGATTTATACTGTCATAAAAAAATTAATCTGCTAATTCTTTCTTGGTCGTTGCTTGCAGGACCTCCAGACGCCCTTAAGAACTGCACAGTCCTCAACGAGAGTACTGATGCTGTCCAGGTTCGCTGTGACGAGGGCTTCGATGGTGGCCTTCCCCAGAATTTCGTAATGGAGGTTTACGAAAATGAGGGACGAAAACTCAAGGTGAGAAGAGCTGTTGCTCAACCGGTTCAATGGTTCTGTCATTGATTATGTCAATATATCTGACTGTGTGATGTGTAATGGAGGAAGCGAGTAGTTCACGGTCAGTCAGTGTAGAGAGAGAGAGGCAGACTTCCGACCAAAGTGGTACAAACTCAAGTTGAGTTAACTAGTTGTTAACGCAGTTGTCTGAGTGAATAAACTGATTGACTCGTTGGCTAACTCACGGCGGCTCGGGATGATCGAGCGGGATAGTTGCCAACACTTTAAAGTATCCCGATTAGTAGAGAATCAAACTTGCAGCACACCCTGCTCTGAAAGACCCACACGGATTTACTGCTCTGTCAAATACAATTGTTAATTCACTTCTTGACTGGTAAACGTTTGGGCTGATTCGGTCACTGTGCAATATACTTTACACGACGTGCTCCATCGAATTGCAGACTCTATACTCTGTCTCCTAATCGTAATGCTGATTGACTCTCAAATTATAACACCAGTGGATCAACCATCTTAGTGAATAAAATGATTAACAGAATAATGGATTGGACACTTGATTACCATCATTGTAGCTCATGGTACTGTGGGTAGATTGGACACATAATTTCCATCATTCTGGCTCATGGTACTGTGGGTAGATTGGACACATAATTACCATCATTGTAGCTCATGGTACTGTGGGTAGATTGGACACATAATTACCATCATTGTAGGTCATGGTACTGTGGGTAGATTGGACACATAATTACCATCATTCTGGCTCATGGTACTGTGGGTAGATTGGACACATAATTACCATCATTGTAGCTCATGGTACTGTGAGTAGATTGGACACATAATTACCATCATTGTAGCTCATGGTACTGTGAGTAGATTGGACACATAATTACCATCATTGTAGCTCATGGTACTGTGGGTAGATTGGACACATAATTACCATCATTCTGGCTCATGGTACTGTGGGTAGATTGGACACATAATTACCATCATTGTAGCTCATGGTACTGTGAGTAGATTGGACACATAATTACCATCATTGTAGCTCATGGTACTGTGAGTAGATTGGACACATAATTACCATCATTGTAGCTCATGGTACTGTGGGTAGATTCAGTCACTGATTAATTACCATAACCGATGAATAGTTTCATTAATTCAACCGCTGACATAATATCATTGATATATTATCACTGCTCTATTATCACTGAAATATTATCACTGCTTTATTATCACTGAAATATTATCGCTGCTTTATTATCGCTGCTATATTATCGCTGCTATATTATCACTGCTATTTTATCACTGCTATATTATCACTGATATATTATCACTGCTATATTATCACTGATATATTATCACTTATGCAACATATGGGAATCTCTATTGAAGAAACGTTTCGCCACACAGTGGCTTCATTAGACGAGGAGTTTGATGTAATCAGTCCCTCAGCCTGGTGTCGATGTGTTCAGTCCATCAGTCTTGTAGAAAGTACAGCACAGAGCATAAGTGTCTCATTTCTTCAGCTTATCGGTTTTCAAAACCATTCATCACATCTGTCAGACACTGCATCATCATGGGATCTTGATACAAAGAATTCTTCAAAACTTGTCCAACCTTTGGACGAAGACCTACTTCGACTAGTGGATGGTACCACTATGACCCCGCCTGATACAAAGAATCCTTCAAAACTTGTCCAACCTTTGGACGAAGACCTACTTCGGCTAGTGGATGGTTCCACTATGACCCCGCCTGATACAAAGAATCCTTCAAAACTTGTCCAACCTTTGGACGAAGACCTACTTCGACTAGTGGATGGTACCACTATGACCCCGTCTCCCTCCTCCTGCTCCGCCTCACCTGACTACAGTATATAAGCCACTGCTACGGACCTGTGCTGTGCTTTCTACAAGATTGATGGACTGAACACAGACTCCAGACTGAGGGACTGATTACCTCAAACTACTCCTCTCATTATACCTTCCTGCTTTGTTTAAGACTGATAAAGCCACTGTGTGGCGAAACGTTTCTTCAATAAAGATTCCCATATGTTGCATAAGTGTCTCAATTCTTCAACTTGTCGGTTCTCAAAACCATTCATTACATATTATCACTGATATATTATTACTGGTATATTATTACTGGTATATTATTACTGGTATATTATTACTGGTATATTATCATTGATATATTTTTACTGGTATATTATCACTGATATATTATCACTGGTATTAATATTGGTATATTATCAATGATATATTATTACTGGTATATTATCACTGATATATTATTACTGGTATATTATCACTGATATATTATTACTGGTATATTATCACTGGTATATTATCACTGATAAATTATCATTGATAAATTGTCACTGACATATTATCATTGATATTTTATCATCGATATAATTATTGACATATTGATGACTTACTCATCTGCTGATTCATTAAATAACATAATTAACTCAGTGAATAATTAACTGACTCAAGGTTAAAGTCAGTACACTGATTGATCCACTGATTAACATGTTAATTAACACACTACACTGACTCATTATTTTCCAAACTGCTGAAATTTACTGGCAAATAAAAAAATGAATAAAAAAGTAGTTACTGATTTATTGTGCAATAATTGTTATTACGCAATTTTTTTGTGTAATAGGTAAATGGTAGGCAGCTCGATGTCACTTAGTTGAAGCACACAGACAATGACACAGGTTGCTGAATAGACTTTTATGTGACGCAGCTCTGTGTATAGCTCATATTATTATTATTATTATTATTATTATTATTATTATTAAATTCATAGGTATGCGTTAATCTGTAAAATTCATACAACACTTAGTAATTGCTCCTCTAATGCTAAGATATACTGGATTAAAGAGAAGACAGTTATATCACTGGTCAAATTAAGTAGATAATAGAGAGGTATCGTCGATTAGGTTAGGTTACGTTAGGTTAGGTTAGGTTAGGTTAGGTTACGTTACGTTACGTTACGTTACGTTACGTTACGTTACGTTACGTTACGTTAGGTAAGGTTTATCAGGACACCGGATAAGAGTTTCCTGACGCGGGTCTGCGTCATATAATGACCTGCAGCTGGAGTTTCAGGTCATCTGACTGAGGCCTTCCGTTGGCCTACAAATCCATCCCTTTAAAATTTAGTTATAATAGCGAGGTATGATCGCTGGTGCTGGAGTGGAAGGCAGCACTACGGGCCACCGCTGGAGCAGGAGGGCGCCACTATACAGCGCTTCGTTTTACAGCGTTTCGCTAATGTAGTGGTTTTCAGTTATACCCATTATTTATTTATTCAGACTTCCTACAATAAATATTATCACTGCTCACTATGAGCTAAGGACGAAAATGTTTTAAATAAAGTTATGTGTGTAGTGTATATTCTATGTTACCAGGCTTTTATATCAATTTTCACTTTTCAGCGCTATCCCAGAACCTAACCTGCTGTATAAGCCGGACTCTTCTGTATAATGGAGATAAGGCAATTGTAGTTTATCGGTCTTGTTTTCTGTCACCAGGTCAAGCATTCAAAAATAATTTATATCCATCAGTGCATTAAAAGCTTTTGAAATCTCATGTTTATATAGAATATAGTTAAGGATGTCTGGAGACATCTCTGCTGGTAACGATGTTACTTCACGTGTCCACGATGTCTGGAGACATCTCTGCTGGTAACGATGTTACTTCACGTGTCCACGATGTCTGGAGACATCTCTGCTGGTAACGATGTTACTTCACGTGTCCACGATGTCTGGAGATATCTCTGCTGGTAACGATTTTACTTCATGTTGCGTCACTGACTCATATCATCTTAGTAGCTTCAAATTTCTATCTTATCTCATCCTCTTCTGTACATCAACTTGACTTCACTTTCGCGTCACTTTAAAACTCGCTACTTACCTATGTTATGGAGAGAAAACCTGAGTCGACTTTTCCAGTCAATTCTGGACCATTATCAAGTTAAGTCTGTTTATAGACGAGGATGTATGGCAACGGTCCAGAGTAACACGTACAGTGTATGTAATAGTTATGAACCGTTCCATTGCTGATTTTGTAACTGATGTGTTGTCCCAGCTATGTACTGTGTGTTAGTTAGAAACCGGTACACCATCGGTATTGTCGATTAGTTGTGAATTGTCTCGGCTCTGTATTGTTGGTTAAATGTAACTTTTCACAGTATTGTTTGTGACCATCCACGGAATTGTTAGTATTGTGAACTGTTGTGACTTTTGTTTTAGGATTGTAAAATGCTCCTGATGCTGAATTCTAAGCTGTCTCTGAATTGTTCTGACCACTGTCATATTGATTAATTGTGAATTGTGTTAGTTACAGTATTGTGAGCTCACTACTGACTGTTCAAAAATAAAATTGTGAATTAGATTTGAAGTCATCCAGCAACGATTTTCTGAATGAGTTATAATTTTTTCCTGTTGTGCATTGTTAGTTGTGAATATGTCTAGCTACTGTTCTGTGAGTTGGTAATTGTTCCTGTAACGTTATTAGGTACTGGCTATGAACTGTTCCATTTACGAAAATATTAGTTTATTCTGATTTGTTCCAACTGCGCCTTCTGCCTTCTGTACTCGACTGAAGAAGCCTATTGTGTATGCTGCACATGTCTTACTTATCCTCTAGTAAATTGTTCCAGTCAGAGTATTATGGATATGATGAGCTTTCAATTAGCTGTGAATTGTCCTAGCTATGGTATAATGAATTAGTTGAAAATTTTTCTGCAAGTGTATTGCGGGTTAGATGTGTATTGTAAATTTATTACGAGCGATGATAAATGCAAGCTTTCGACACTATAGAGCAAAATCAGGGAGCCTTCAGTATCGGAAATCCACTTTCAAAACTAGTAATACTAGGTAACATCCATCAGAAAATTAAAGTGCTAATTCACTCATCCTAAGCTGACACTGAACCGCTTAGACTTGATAAAGCTATACCGAGACTTAATAAAGCTATACCGAGACTTAATAAAGCTATACCGAGACTTAATAAAGCTATACTGAGACTCAATAAAGCTATACTGAGGTATGATAAATCTATACTGAGACTTATTAAAGGTATACTGAGATTAAATAAAGGTATACTGAGAATTAACAAAGGTATACTGAGACTTAATAAAGGTATACTGAGACTTAATAAAGGTATGCTGAGTCATAAAAAAGGTATACTAAGATTTAATGCAGGTATACTGAGACTTAATAAAAATATACTGGAACTAAATAAAGATACACTGAAACCAGTAAAGGTATAGCGAGGCTTAATAAAGGTATACTGAGACTATCTACCTGGAGTATACCTGGAGGTGTTCCGGGGTAAGCGCCCCCTCGGTCCGGTTCATGATCAGGCCTCGCGGTGGATCAGAACCTAAGCAATCAGGTTGTTACTGCTAGCCGCATGTAGTCCAAAGCACGAACCACGGCCGGACTGATCAGGAGTCTATTGGTAAGTCCTGTTATGCCTGGTGGGAGACAGTTGAACAGTCTTGAGCCCCGGACACTTACTGTGTTTTCTCTTAGTGTACTCAAGGCGCCCAGCTCTTTGTTGCACCGTCTGACCAGTCTTTTAATTTCTGAGAAAGTGATTTTTGTGTGCATATTTGGGACCAGTCCCTTTAGGATTTTCCAGTTGTAGATTATGACGTATCTCTTTCGCCTGCGCTCCAGGGAGTACAGGTCAAGTGACTCCTAACGTTACCATTAATTAAGGTAATTGACTAAACTTATATGTGCAGTGAAAGTTCTCTGTTCATTCTCTAGATCTGCGATTTCTTTTCCTTGAATGGAGCTGTTATTGTGCAGCAGTATTCCGTTTAAGAGAGAGAGAAAACAAGTGATATAAAAATGATCATCATTGGCATGGCATCCCATGTTTTGAAAGTTTTCATTATCCATCCTATCATTTTCTTAGCAGATATGATAGTGACACTGTTGTGATCCTTGAAGGTCAGATTCTCTGTCATTAACACTCCCGAATACTTCATATTTTTTATTTATTGTGTGCTTAAAGTTCGTTGTGTAGTATGCTCCGTTCTAGCTATTATTTCCTCAAGTTTTCCATAACAGAGTAACTGAAATTTGTCCTTATTGAACTTCATATTGTTTTCCGTTGCCATTGGAAAATTTGCTGTATATCCGCTTGGAGATTTACAATGTCGTCAATAGATGTCACTCTCATGCAGATTCTGGTATCGTCTGCAAAAGAAGACACGGTTCAATTGTTTACATCTCTGTCTATGTCTGATACGAGGATGAGGAACAGGATGGGGCGAGTACTGTGCCTTGTGGAACTGAGCTCTTCACTGTCGTAGCCTCCGACGTAACTCACTTTGTGTTCGATTGATTAGAAAGTTGAATATCCATCTGCCCATTTTTCCAGTTATTCCTTTTTGCGCATTTTGTGCACTATTACATCATGATCTCACTTGTTAAGGGCTTTTACAAAGTCTGTGTATACTACATCTGTATTCGTTTGTTCTCCAGTGCATCCAAGACCATGTTATAGTGATCCAGTAGTTGCGAAAGGCAGGAGTAATTTGTTCTAAACCCATGCTGCCCTAGGTTGTGCAATTGTGGGGGTTGCAAGTATTTGGCGATCATGCTTCTTAGAGCACGTTAAAAGATTTTTATAAGAGCATAAGAAAGATGGAACACTGCAACAGGCCTACTGGCCTATGCGATGCAGCTCCAATATAGAACTTTATAAAAATCTTGCTAAAGCTATACTAAGGCATAATAAAACTATTCTTAGACCTGATAAAGCTACAACTAGTCATGAAAAAGCTATATTTTGAATTAAACCAATACTTATATCTGATAAGGGTATACTTAGCTAAACTTAAAACTACGTCTGGAAGCTACGTTTGTAAACTACGTCTAGAAACTACGTTTGTAAACTATACGTGAAAGATTTATCACGCATGATTGTTATTAATTCTTCCAGCCACAGTATCGTAGGATACTTCCTATTTTCTTCCAGCAATGGAATTGATGGTGAGGCGTTAATCTTCTTTTTCAGGGCATTAAAAGGTTTGTTGACAGGGACAAATGTTTATGTTCCGGAATTCTAAGTTGGTTGATGAATGCTCCAGTTACGCTATTGTGGGTTAATTGTCAATTGTTCGGAGACAGAACTGTGGATTAGCTGAGAATTGTTTCAGCTGCAGTGAGTTGGGAAATTCTCCTGACAGGGCATTATGAATTAAGTTTTAATTTTGTATTATTAATTCACTGTGAAATGTTGTATTCACCAAATTGTGGCAATAATTCTTTTATATTTTGTCTTCTCCCTTTGTCTCGTGTATGTGTATATATATGTGTGTATGTGTGTATGTGTGTATGTGTGTGTGTGTGTGTGTGTGTGTGTGTGTGTGTGTGTGTGTGTGTGTGTGTGTGTGTGTGTGTGTGTGTGTGTGTGTGTGTGTGTGTGGCGGGGCTGCAGTCCAACGTGACGAGCAAGACACCATTCTTCACGGTGCGAGGTCTGCCTTCTGGGTTGCTGCTGACCGTCACCATCTACGCTGCCAACAACAAGGGACGTTCTCAACCCTCCTTCCTGCAAGCTGCCACACTCGCTAACATCCACCAGAAACATGTTTCAGGTCAGTCCCTATTATTATTATTATTATTATTATTATTATTATTATTATTAACCGTTATTATTATGTATCCCATAGGGTGTATCTTCAAGCAGTTTTCTTTTTCTTTCTTTATCTCTTCAATTTTACTCTCATATCTCGAGAACACCACATCCTATCGGCTTGAGATTTTCAACACCTGTCTATAACAATGAAGACCAAATTCTAGTAACAACTAGCATCTTCACGTTCTCTCTGACCAGAGTTATTCAGCCCATTCCCAGCCTCCTGGAATGGGACGGATAACCTCCAAAATCTTCAGAGGCGGAGCTTAAAAAAAATACGACTACGGTGAAGTGTTAGGTAAGATTCAACAGGAAACAGAGGTAATTCAATTCAATTCAATTCAAGTTTATTCTCTATAAAGGTTACAATGTGGGGTTTACAGGATTTGGATATTGTGTGGTTTACATGTTATAAAATACTAATTACAGAGGGGGCCACTAGGACACCTAGCATGACTAGGCATTTCGGGCAGACTTAGATTAATTCTTAACATAAATCCTTACAGATTATGGTATTAAGGCTAGGTGACTACATTATAATTTGTGAGTTTAGCAATGTGAATGCTTTTGTTTTGGCACAATACAAAGTGTCTATATTGGAGTATCATAGGCAAACTTACGATTAGTTAGGATTCATTATTTTAAGATTGAGATTAGTATTTCTGTGTTTATAGTCAGTTGGTGAGTGAGTGTAATTGTGAACTACCAGGCGGTTATCATGTAGTTAGTTGTCGGGGTGTATCAGGGAGATAAGATGTTTTCTAACTGTAGTTTTGAAAGTGATGAGTGTGTCTGCAGTTCTAGAGTTTTCAGGTAGGGTGTTCCAGATTTTAGGTCCTTTGAAATACATTGAATTTTTGTCAAGTTTAGTCGGACACGGGGAATGTCATAGAGATGTTTGTGTCTGGTGTTATGCCTGTGGATCCTGTCACAACTATCAAGAAAGAGTTTTAGGTCAAGGTTAATATTGGAATTTAAGGTCCTGTAGTGTGGATATTCTGAACAGGGAGTAAGTTAAGATTTATGAAGAGTGGGGGGGGGTGTTGCCAGGGATGGGATTTAGTGATTATTCTTACTGCGGCTTTTTGTTGGGTTATTATTGGCTTTAGGTGTGTTGCTGCAGTTGAACCCCAAGCACAGTTAGCATAGGTGAGGTATGGATATATAAGTGAATGGTATAGTGTGAGAAGGGCAGCTTGTGGCACGTAGTATCGTATCTTGGAGAGGATCCCCTACCGTTTTGGATACTTTTTTTGTTATGTGTTGGATATGGGTGCTGAAATTTAGGTTGTTGTCGAGGTATAGGCCAAGGAATTTTCCCTCATTATGTCTGGCAATTAGAGTGTTGTCGATCTTAATGTAAAGTTACGCAACACCTGCTCTGCTACCAAACATAATATAGTAGGTTTTTATCAGTGCTCAGTGTAAGTTTATTGACGCGGGTTTTAGTCATATGGTGACCCTCAACTAGAGCTTATAGACGTATGACCGATGCCTTCCGCTAGCTTAGCTACAGGTGGAGATGGCATTGCGAATGTGTAAGTGCACATTTAGCGATTTTTATCGAGTAAAAAAGTGTGCAATTTTTATTTTGCTTAAATCACGTTACAAAAAATATTACTTTGCCTCTCCTGAACGGTTTCAGTTTTAATGGCTGCTGCATCTTAAAGCCAGGATGGTTTACCTGGAGTTTACCTGGAGGGCATTCTGGGGGTCAACGCCCCGCGGTCCTTGACCAGCCCTACTGGTCATGGACCTATTAAGTTTCATTTGTTGCACCAGAATTTGTTAAAGTAGTAAAATAATAAAAACAAACTTGCAATCGTTGGTATCCGTGCCATAGCTGGGGAATTGCTCAGCTGATCGGCTTCAAATCTTCCCAAATTTTCACGCTGCTGTTGTAACTTGTGACTTCATTACCTTTGTACCTTGCTCAGCTATCATAACTTTGGGACCCAGTTCATAGACCCATTATGTACCTATGTAATCTTTTCACTACCACCCACAGGGTGGGTATGGGGTGACTACTGCCCACAGGATGGGTACGGGGTGACTACCGCCCACAGGATGGGTATGGGTGACTACCGCCCACAGGAGGGGGTAGGGGGGTGTACCGCCCCACAGGGTGGGTAAGGGGGACTCCGCCCACGGGAGGGGTAGGGGTGACTACGCCCACGGGAGGGTTTGGGGGGGTGACTACCCCCACAAGTGGTAGGGGGTGAACCCCCCACGGGATGGGTAGGGGGTGACTACCGTCCACAGGGTGGGTATGGGGTGACTACCCCCACAGGAGGGGAGGGGTGACTACCGTCCACAGGGGGGGGATGGGGTGCATCGCCCCACAGGAGGTAAGGGGACACCGCCCACAGGATGGGATGGGTGCTACCGCCCACAGATAGTATTGAGTGACTCCGCCCACGGGATGGGTATGGGGTGACTCCGCCCACAGGATGGGGTATGGGGTGACTACACCACAGGGGGGTAGGGGGGTGACTACCGACCACAGAGGGGGGATGGGGTGACTACCGCCCACAGGAGGGGTTAGGGGGTGACTACCCCCACGGGAGGGGTATAGGTAAATACCCCAAGAGGGTATGGGGGACACCGCCCACAAAGGGTATCGGGACTACCGCCCACACAATGGTAGGGGTGACTCCCCCCACAGGGGGGGTATGGGGTGACTACCGCCCACAGGAGGGGAGGGGTGACACCGCCCACAGGGGGGATGCGGGACAAACCGCCCACAGATGGGTAGGGGACTACCGCCCACAGGTGGGGAGAGGTGACTACCGCCCACAGGATGGGTATGGGGTGACAACCCCCCACAGGGTGGGTGTGAGTGACACCGCCCACGGATGGGTAGGGGTACTACCGCCCCAGATGGGTATGGGATGACTACCGCCCGCGGGATAGGTATGGGGTGACTACCGCCCACAGGGGGAGAGGGGGTGACTACCGCCCACAGGTGGTAGGGGGCTACCGCCCACATGAGGGGCTGGGGTACCCCCACCCAGGGGGGTTTTGGGGGACTACCGCCCACGGGATGGATGGGTGACTAAACCCCAGGTGGGTATTGGGACTACCGCCCACGGAGGGTATGGGGTGACTACCCCCAAAAGAATGGGTATGGGGTGTTTACCTCCCACAGTGGGTAGGGGGGCACTACCCCCCAAAGGGAGGGTAGGGGTGAATACCTCCCACAGATGGGTATGGCGCCCTACCGCCTACGGGTTGGGTAGGGGGTTACTACCGCCCACAGAGGGGTAAGGGTGACTACCCCCACGGGATGGGAAAGGGGTGACTCCCACCCACGGGAGGGTAGGGGTGACCCCACCCACGGGATGGAAATGGAGTGACTCCCTCCCACAGAGGGGTATATGTGTCGCCTCCCACGGGAGGGGGATGGGGACTACCCCCCCACGGGGTGGGTTGGGTTACTACCTCCAGCAGAGGGGTAGGGGGTGACTACGCCCACAGGTTGGGTTGGGGTGCCTACCCCCCACAGGAGGGGTATGGGGTGACTACCTCCCACGGGATAGAGATGGGGGGGACTACCCCAACGGGAAGGGGAGGGTGACTACCCCCAAAACAGGAGGTTTAGGGGGTGACTACCTCCCCGGGAGGGTTTACGGGGGACTACCTCCCACAGGAGGGGTATGTGATACTACCACCCACAGGAGGGGTAGGGGTGACTACCCCCACAGGTAGGCAGGGGGACTACCTCCCACAGGATGGTTATGGGAAAATACCTCCCACGGGAGGGTTATGGGGTGACTACCTCCCCAGGAGGGGTTGGGGATACTACCCCCCAAAGATGGTATTGATGACTACCACCCCAGGATAGGGGGGTACCCCCTCCCACGGATGGTTATGGAGTGACTACCACCCACGGAAGGGCATGGGGTACTACCTCCCACAGGATGGTTATGGTGACACCACCCACAGGATAGGCACGGGGACTCCCCCACAGGATGGTTATGGGATGACTACCTCCCACAGGATGGTTATGGGGACTACCCCCACGGGATGGGTAGTGATGACTACCCCCACGGGATGGGAGGGGGTTTGACCCCCTCCACAGGATGGGTATGGATGACTACCACCCACGGGATAGGCAGGGGGTGACTACCACCCACGGATAGGCAGGGGTGACTACCTCCCACGGGAAAGGGCAGGGGGGACACCACCCACAAAGCGGGGGGTGACTACCACCCACAGGATGGGCATGGGGTGACTACCACCCACAGGATAGGCATGGGGTGACTACCTCCCACAGGATGGTTATGGAGTGACTACCACCCACAGGATAGGCATGGGGTGACTACCTCCCACAGAATGGTTATGGGTGACTACCCCCACAGGATAGCATGGGTGACTCCCTCCCACAGGATAGGCATGGGGTGACTACCACCCACAGGATAGGCATGGGGTGACTACCACCCACAGGATAGGCATGGGGACTACCACCCACAGGAAGGCAGGGGGTGACTCCCCACCCAAGGAAGGCAGGGGGTGACTACCACCCACAGGATGGCATGGGGTGCTCCCACCCCAGGATAGGGATGGGGGACACCACCCACGGGAGGGGGCATGGGTACTACCACCCAGGGGATAGGCAGGGATGACTACCTCCCACAGAGGGTTTTAGGAGTGACTACCTCCCACAGGATAGGCATGGGGTGCCCCCCCAGGATGGGTATTTGATGACTACCACCCCAAGATGGGTATAGGGTACTTATTAAAGATATTAAACTAATTATTACATACCATGAGTCCCACTTGCAAATTATATTAAATAATCATATTGATTTTATAATCAATTACAAAGGATTGTATTTTATCAGATTTCCTTCAATTTATTATTGACGATAATTTCCATTATGAACTTTGTACAAATGTCTGCAAATATAGAATTTTATGAACTTTTACAATTTGGAAACCTTGGAATTAGATGAATTT